TATTACAATGAATTAACAAATAAAGGGGTCCCTTAAAGCGGGGCGGATTACGTTATAATTAACCAATCAAATTGAAAAAAAGAGAAATATGCGAAAAATAGAAGAAACTGTAGTCAAACCCATTTTGGAATATTAACAAAAAATGCTGGGAGGTAATTTTACCTATATAAACTCGGGCTATAACCTTAATGTTAATGAAAAATTATGTCCCGCTTTAAGGACCCAAATAAAGAATTGATCTACGGTTTGATGAGTCAAAGCGAAAAATTGTATATTGCGATAGAAGAAGATAGAGATAGATATAGAAGATAGATTGATGATCAATAAGAGCATATTTTTATTGGTTACCTATATGCTGCGGCATAAAAAATTCGGGTAGATATTTTCGACCATGAAAGCCAAGAAATTTAACTCCTTATAACTTTCTTAAAACAAATAATAAGAAAAAATTTTCAGCCTAATATGTGGTCTAGCTAAAAATCTATCAATTTGTCAGAAGGTTTTTTGATTTAGCTTGCTTTAAAAAGTTATAGTAAATTAAAGTTTTACTAATAAAGAGTGGATGTGCTATACTGCCCGGTACTGTATAATAAGAATTAAGAATTTCTTATCGTAAGCTAGAAGCAATTATTTTTATATTTTTGATTTTGAACTATTTTCCAGGTTTTATTCTCTTGCGTAAATTATTAACTCTTATAAAAGTTTATAATACTCATTTGAGATTTATAATTCACACAGAGGGTCGATGCCCACATTTGCGCTAAGCTATTATAATAAGTCAAATTCATAATGGTAAAATAAATTATTAACTGCAAGTAATCAATATATTTATTTGAGATTTGTAATTCTCAATGAGGGTCGATATCCACATTTATGTTAGGCTGTTTTAATAAGTAAAATTCATATAATAAGGCATGCAAAATTAATTAATTGGTTTTCATAACCCGGTCGGGTCAAAATTTGAAAACTCCTAAAAAAATTTTTATATGTTTTAATAACTGGTTGGGTTTGAAATTTTTTTATATAAATTTTATAAAATTTTATATATGAAACTTAAAAAAAAAAAAAAGCCGGCCAGCCGGATCTATTTTTAAAATTTCATGTTATGAAAACCAAGTAATTAAATTTGTATGGCTTAATGATAAACCTACTGTAAAATACTAAACTGAAAATAATAAATGCTTGAAAAGAAAAAAAAAACTTTTAAAATCAAACATTTTGGATTACCGTTATTGAGTTTGAGTCTACAAATAAGAAAATGTTTTTTAATATTAATATTACAAAGTTGTAAAATAAAGAATTTAATAAAATATATATCATGCCTACTATTGTTTTAGATAATCATGTAAGATCTGCTTATCAATCTTTCTTGGCAATAGAGTTCAATAAACTAATGTCAAAAAAATTATCTTTAAATAATAATATAAATTTTTCTAGAGTTTCAACTCTTTCTTCCATTGAAAGTTTTCCTAAATTCTCAAGTCTCATTTGAATCGAATCTTTATTATTTATTAGAGAATTATCTATTAACGGTAAGAGGCTTTTTGCAGTTTTTTTCCTTAATCCGCAACATCCATAATGTACGAAGCCCCATGGTCTGATTAAAACATCTCCTAAATTATTTAATAGATAAAAACAATAAGAATAAAAAATGATGATTACAAAAATGATAATAATAATAATAATAATAATAATAACTTACCAAATAAGAACGTATAAAGAGCAAATAAACCACCATAAATACCAGCAATAACTCCAAGAGTGTTTATAACCTTTTTAAATGAAAATAAATATTGGTTATGCATATAGTGCCTTTTCAAAAAGATCTAGGTTAAAGTTTATGTCATACAGTTTTGTTTCTATTATTTGTAAAACATGATCAATGATGTTAGAACAAATAATCGTTTATAATAATTTTTCTTTATTTTTTGATTATTATGTACCTTTGCTCTGTTTCTTCTTCTATAATAGTAGATTGTAGCGCAATATCAATTGATGCGTAAAAATTTGGTATATTTCCTGAAGCATTTTGAAATGTAACTTGTTCTGAAAATGTATTAATATAATTAGAAAAGTTAAAACATAAATAAAATACACTTTAAAAAATTTTAAATAGATTTTTTACGTATAGTTCCTTTGACATAAGGTATCGGATATTTGGTTGATTGAAGACCAATATATTGGCTGAAGGTGTATAAGTCCTGCATATTTCTGACTCTACTAGTGAATGTAAACTCATAATACTATAGATTTTTTTTGTTAGTAAATTTATCCTCTAACAAGATAAAATTGATATACATACGTACACTATTTTGTGATATGAAAAACGTTGTGTAATTAATTGAT